TACGCAAAAGACTCGTTACAAAAAAAAAACATGGGATCATTAAAAAAAACAAAAGACGAAGCAAAGCTGATGGCAACGGCCAGTATAATATTAAAGGAATTTTTACACCCACACAAGACTGGAGAAATAGGTTTTAAGGCCGCATATCTGTCGGCATCTGAAGGCACGCGAAGTTCCTTCCGTCGCTCATATTGGAAATCGCTTATTTAAATTTAAATGCATGTCGGGTAGATGCAATTTTTATGTTCTAATATTTTCTACATTATTGAGTAATATAGCATATCTCTATTGAAGTTAAACGAATGTTAACTAACGTATGAAAATATCTACATTTCTTGGCAATTTACTTTGGTAAGTATTACGGACTATTAGAAGTAAATATGGGGTTAAGACGGACAAATATGTCTGAAACTTATAGTCCTTTAAGTTGTGAAGTAGCTCCGTTACAAGATTAAGTCAAAGCTATCTTAAGTTACGGCGCGGCGCAGAGAATAACGGTTGAACAGACTTAATTAAGTTATCCAAGTCACTGAATATTAGACTTTGCTTTACAATAGACTCTACAATTAATTTACTCAAGTACTTATTGAAATAGTTAAGTGATTTGATTTCCAGAGATATAACAAAAGGATAATAATCACAATGTTACATTGAAATTAGATTTAAGCTACTTGGCATCTAACCAAAAAAACAAAAATACGAAATTTCAAGGACGCGTCACATTTCGTTACAAGAGAGAGAGGAAAGATATAGCGTAAGTAACGCTAGAGTGAGAGCGAAGATTCAATTTGAAACAGTATTTAGTAATTCTGTTGCCTCTATTGTAATAAAAACGCATTCTTGAGTAAAGAATAATGAAGTTGAATCTCCGTACGACGTCTGCAATGAATTTATCTTCGTGCGTCGTTGAAATATAAAAACGAATGGGAGACAATCATTTCGTATTGTTACTGTATGTTGATAACAACTTATATTAGAATATTTCTTACGTTATATACGTTGTACTAAATACACCAGATTTAATTTACAAAATGTATTATTTTAAAACTAGAATTAAATATTTCTGTAATTAACTGTTTTCTGATAGTGTGCAGTTTAACTTTCTATTTATATTTGTAACTTTATTTCTGTTGTTAAGTAAATAATATACTTGAAATTGTGGAGTTGAATTTATTAATAAACTAGCTGTCGCCCGCGACGCGATATATGAAAACTTAATTAGTGTAGCCCACCCATCCATCCACATCGCATCCATCTAAACATACGCATTTATAATATTAGTAAGTTAAATAAAAAGCGGCTCTTCAAGGCGTAAATTCAAAAAAAATGAATAAATAGTATCCTATGTCCGTCTCCTGGCTCTAAGCTACCTCCTCACCAATTTTCAGTCATATCGGTAAAGCCGTTCTTGAGTTATAAATAGTGTAACTAACACGACTTTCTTTTATATATATATATATAAATCAATGTTACGCAATAAACGCTTACAATCTATACAACAACTGAATGTCTTAATAAAATCCAGTCGCAGTTGCCGCAAGAAGCCGGTCAATCAACCACAAAATGTACCGCTAATAAGTCGATAGTCGAGACTTTATTATTCAATAACAAACCACTGAATTGAATTACATACAATCTATAGACGTAATATAATTTTTATCAATACGTCCACTTTCAAGTTGAATAGAAACTCTTTCATATTGTTTCATAAGCTCAGAACCGAAGCAAAATGTAGACAAACAATTCCATAGAGAAATAATAATAAAAACTATCCATATAGAGTTGTATAACCGTACCGAGAGGAAAACCAAAACTGCTTAGTAGCAATATCGAAACTGGCAATATTTAGTAACCAATATTGTATTCTTAATTAAATTAGTAGATTTCGACTGCGACTCCGTCTCGCGAAATTAAAAAAAAATATATAGTAATTAGCCTATGTGTTCTTCCAGACTTTGTTCTACTCTATGGATCTCTGTTAGCATAAATAACAGCGAGATCCATGCAGCCGTTCTGGAGATACCTTCTTACAAACATCCATCAATTCAAACATTCACATTAATATTAGAAAGATTAATATGGAAGTCTTTTACTATTACTGTCACCAAAATATCCGTTTAAAACATATTGTTATCTCTGTTTTATCAATTATAATGACAAGGATGACGATATACAGAGATTTTGGTCTCAGAAACAAAATTTACTAGTCGTTTTAACTGATTTTTTTATGAAAATTATTCGTAATATTAGAGATATGTCTGTTAACGCCGTACAGACCACATCGTGAACACATGTAATAAATATATTAAGTAAACACATTAAATTAATTGAAGTTCGATGTTCCCTTATCAATACTCTCATATTAACAAGATACCGAATGCACTTCATCGAAATCGAACATTCAACTTTGACCTTTACTATAATTCACATAAAGGTAATAATTCCTTGCATATTACAGTTAAATTCAAAATGTCATTTCATAGGTCAGGGGTGCCGAACCATTTTTTTTAAAGATATGTTTAAAGAGCTCGTAGAAGTGCCATTAAACAATTTTGACTTAGTGATTATTGTGAACATTTTGTAGCGAACATGACTGTCAATTTTCATAGTCAATTTCGAGATCAGTGACATGCCGATAATTTTGTCTCAAAAAATTAAAAGCGACAATTTTAGTGAAAAGTAAAAAAATAAAGCATGTAACTTCAAATTTCTTAAGTCTTGATAAACTTAAATTTTATTTAATAATTCTCCAATAAAATATATTATTATTTATTTTTATGTGGATTTATAAATAAATTATAAATTACTAACTAACACAATTAATCATAATAATAAAATTCTGAGCCATATGCAGTAAACCAGCAATGTTACAAAATTTTGCGCGTTTTCGCTTACCTTTTCAGTTACGGCAAGGCCGGCAAACTCTTCTGGTGCAACGCAATCGCCTTTCAGCCAACTCGCGAGACGACCGAGCTCGCCAAGCATATTCGACGGTGACAAGGAACTTAATGCCATTTTACCCAAAAGATTACAAACCGATTACAATAACAAACAAAAAAGCCGCTGCGGACGGCGAGAATCGATTTTAATTATACCAATAATCGATTAAAAATTCATCGTATTCAGCCAGTCATTCCATTACAATTTAAATATTTAATTTATTTTTTATCTCTGATGTAATATAATTTTCCCGCCTTTTAGACAAAATTAAACCTCCTCCTACCGTGACACGAAATATACTAACAAAAATCGGAACCGCTGAAATCTCACTCCCTAGTGAAATGTCCAGGTTACAACGAGAGCGAGCGATTTTGAACTTTATTCCAAATGAATTGCAGTCACTATTAAATATCGCAGATCGGAGCATGCGCGGGGACATTTTGCGCGTAAACAAAATTAGTCGCGTAAAATGTGCTTTCGTAATTTATTTAAAAAGTAATAAGGTAAAATACTCATTACACACAGAAATCTAATATAAAGACTTAAGTTTCAAATCTAAGCAAATTTGCTAAAAACATTATGTTGCGATTTTTTTTTATATCTAAAGGACATAGAAGCTATAAGCATGAACTTTTGCAAAAATGATCCAATTTCAACTGACATGTTTCAAAATCTTAAAAGCTACACTGGTACCATAAATATCCCTTTCTCTTTACCTCCCAACCGAATAGGTCATAGCTTAGAAATTATAGTTTTTGCTTTATTCTGACTTAAACAAGGCTGTCGAAGTTCCTACGAGTTAATTGAATGTCTAATATCTCTGCTACAAAATGTAATCATCATTCAAAGTAGTTAATAAAGATAATATCACTGGTTTTCATGAATGAAATGTTTAGAATTAATTCATAAATCATTGACTGCTACTCTCATGTAAAATTACATTTAATTCGACTAGTTGAATAAAAAACAGTTAAAGGTAGAAACACTGAAGAACCATCAAAGATTGATTCATCTAAATTGTTAAATTAAAAACCATTCCCTATACCTGAAGTACCTATATTATAAAATGTACAATTTTGAAAACTCATAGTGTTTGAAAACAGGTCATATTCAAAAAAGTATTAATTGCGGTATCATTATTCTTAATCACATTCTAATTAGAGGAAAGTAAGTTGTTTACATATCATTAGTAACAGCTTTAACCATATTTATAAAGTAAACATTAAACTGATAGACAATATTATCTTTATTTACCAATTCACTTGTAGTAAAAGACAAATATAATGTCAAGTATTGTTCAATAATACTTAGTGATGTAAAATAGTCTTTAATACGTTATGGAATTAGTACAAAACTGTAATCTAAAATAACTTAGCACTGTTATCAGCAAAATAGAGGAAACAATAAATACGCCCTACATAATATTCTAGTTTCTAATCAAAGTTAATAAATTTTTGGTATTAATTAACGTATTTTGGTGTTTTTATTCTTACCTTAGGAGTTTTAATAATATCCATTGCTGATTAAGGCGTAAATCAATAACAAATACAAAATTCACGTTCAATAACAAGGGAATATCTAAAGTTCAATGGTCATTTGAATTAATAAGTCAAGCACATGTTTAAGATTTATCCCACTATTAAATTATTATGCACTAATATACACGAATACTTTAAAATAAACACCTCATTTAAATAAAAGATTTTAAATAGATACGAAAACGAAATCAAAAACTTTGACGTTCGTGACAGAAAATTGACATTACAGTCCAAGCAGCTGTTGAGTTTGAGTTACGTTCTGAGCGTCACAAAATTTTGTTTTGTTCCAAAATCCATACTATCTTTTTGTTCCTCTATTCTATAAAATATGATATGATTTTAAAATCTTATTTTTACTATAACGAAAGACTATGATCTCCAGTGAAGCACTATGAAATTTTCTGTTAATCGATTTGCGTTTAATGTTTTCAAGTGAAAATCGATTTTTTGACACGTTAATAAATCTTTAACTTTATCTGTTATATTTTCACTTTTTACACCTGTCATTCTGTCATTTTCATTTATTGATAAATTGATAAAAGGGAATAGACGTTCGCGAGATTTCTATCCTGAAAAACATCTTTGTTTTATTCTTTATTGCTACGAAAAACAGTTGAAGTAGTTAATATGACTTCTACTTTACCTAATGAGGCTGATAGGAACGAGGAACGCCGACGTAGGGTGAGCTAAAATATTTAATAATATATTGCAATATGTTTTGTATGTACTTTATACGAATGATTCATGTATTTGCGTTGTTTTTACATATATAATAATCTTATCAATTTCACAAAAAATGTTTTCGTCTCCGTACTATTCAACAACAAATTACAGTATAAAGAAAAGGAAATAGAAACAAATTACGTCTTTGTTCGTTCCACATAAACTAGATCGAAATTAATGACCAAAGACCGGTTCCGGATGAAAATATCATTGCGAACGAAAGAGCTATTTAATATGCATCTTATTTTAATGATATTCTGCTTTTTTGTTTTATACACTAAAAACCTTGATTCTGTGAAAGTATACAAAGATTGCAAAAAAGTTACTTTAGCTTTTGTAATGAAGTTTTAAAACGTGATAAAACGATGTGTTAGGAATTAACAATGTTAAAATATGGTCTTTTATTATACTGAATGGATAACAAATGATATAAAAAACCAGTAAATTTTGCAAATACGTAAAATTTGTATTTATTTCCTTTACAAATATTAATCACAACATAAGAAAACTTATAGAAAGCATTTACTTAATTGTTACCTAACTAAATTGTATATAATCTGCTAATGTAACTATATTATTCCTGCAGTTGCTGCTGGGTCCATTACCTGCTGGTTTCCTGAGGGCTGATGGTACTGTGGACAATGTTGATGCAGATTACCAGGCAGCTCTTGCTCTGCAGCAACAGCTCAGTGGTGCTACGGTAAGCATAAGGATAGTCTATATTATGACATACATCTTACATCTATATATTTTACAGAATTAAAAAAAACATATTTAGTAGCCTGTTTTCGTCCACACTATGTTCTTAGTGTATGCAACATATCAGCGAGATTTGTTCAGCCATTCTCGAGATACCTTTAAATAAACAACCATCTATCTATACATTCGCATTTAATATTAGTAAGAATGGAGTGGTCTATGTTATATCAAGAAAAAAAAAATTTCATACATGTAAAAAGCAATTATTTAAATTTATGTTTGTCTATTTACTATGCTGCCTTTGTTCCAGTATTCTCCAGAACAGCTGGAATTATAAATGTTATATACAACTATCTGCCATTTTTAGACTTATTAAAATTCAAACATACTCAAAATGCAAATCATTAAACCCTTATGACTCACTTCACTTAAAAATATAAACTGCTGATGGCACTATTTCTTAAGTATTCTTCTTAATTGTAATTTAATATCGGGAAAACTTTACATGGTTTTTACAATAAAGTTATAATGACCTTAAACAAATGAATACTATTTTTACAACCTTTCATTGTTTATCTTTTTTTTTATAGAAAAATATGTGTGCTCATTAATTTCAAATAATTTATGTCTTTAACATAGAGGACTAGGTAGAGAATACATATTTTTATTAGAAATAATTTAATATGAAAACAATCATGTTTAATTTAGTTAGAAACAACTAACAGTTGTCTTCGCTTTGTCACCATACACTGCAGACTAGTGTAGTTTGCCAACTGAGACAAAACTTTTAAAATGGATTAAGTAAAAGTATAAAGTCGTTTTGGAGCCTATTTAATGCAAACAATCATATCTTTCCGACTTTATAATATCAATATAGACAGCCAAATAACTCTCCCTGTAACCCCGATGGGTAGGCAGAGATACAGATTTTCATCACATCTCGCACAATTTTTTTTTAGGTGCCTGCTACTGGTCCTCCCCTGACTGCGAGATTAAGCATTACAATAGCTCAAGCTAAACTGTCTAAAAATTATGGTAAGTTTGTTTTAATACTATTGTGTAACTTGTTTTTCTCTGAATAGCTATTGAGTCATATTGCTATCCCTTTCATTCTTTCAATAAAAACAGTGACAACATTGTTATGTACTACCAATACATATATGTTGTGTATTAATGGAGGTTACTCTTATGTAAAGATATTTTCGTTCCAATATTACATTATAAAATATTTTAAGAGGTCTAAGTATTCATAAAGTGATTGCTTGTTATAATCGTAGATGCAATTGGCTTTATTACTAGTGCTTACGTATTTAGAGAAATCATACTTTCCAGTAATAAAAGCATATATGCATTTAACTAGGTTTCTATAGATGTACAGTCAGGTAATCTGTCGGTGTTCTTAATAGCTACAGTCGTTTGAACGTCACAGAATAATAACCAATAGTATTCAGCTTTTTGTCTCTATATGAAAAAAATTCGGTCAGTACACGGTTAATTGCTACCAAATTTGTTGCTTTTAAGAGGCGAAGTTTATTGTTGCATCGAACATGGAAATTTTCCTGTAAGTTGAACACTGCAGATTTCCGCAACTGTATCAAAAAAATCATCCCACTTATTCTCATTTAATAAACATAGCGATAGGTTTTTTACAAATGTTTCGTCAATGGAAACTCATCGAGATCGCCCTCTTTCACACATTTTTATATACGTTTCTGAAGTGTGTTGGTATAACAAACATAATATTTGATTTCATTGTATTTCTTATATAACACTTTGAATAAAGATTTCGTGATTAATTAGATGACCGTGACATTCTTTTATTTTTGCATTTGAATTTCCATTTAACAAGAACCGAAACATATTTATGGTAATGAGAATATTTTTTTAACTAGAATTTTAAATGGCTTAAATAGTACGACACAATAATGTTTTATTAAAAGAATTTTTCGTTAAAGTAAGTTTGCTAATGTTCAAACATGCAAATAATTTTTTTATAATAGAAATAAACCTTAATGTTTGTGACTGATATCAACTATGTTACTAAAAAAATATATTTAACTATGTTATAGTACGTACTGTTACGGTACGCGTCCATAGGCCTCCGCCGGACGCTCTAAAAACACGGCCCGCAACGGATTAAACGGATTTGCCGATATCATATGTCCCCTGTAGCATGATTTTTTGTACAGTTATCAGTGTTTTCTTGTCCTGAGTTGACGTATTCGGCCACGCATTTTTAGCTTATAAATGCCATCTTTCGATGCGCGGACAGTGCGGAAGATGGAATCCGTAATAGGATGTCCGCTACGCGTCCGGCGCGGGCCAATGGACGCGTACCTTTATTGGAAATTCCTTCCCATTTCCAGAATAATCTTACTAATATTATTAATAAGAATGTATATATGGCTTAGGATGAAATTAAGCACATAGATTATTATATGATTTTTTTTTAATTTCGCGTGGATGTATCAAACAAAAGCTAGTACTTATATTGTCATGAATGACAATTCAATCCCTGTTAATGAGGTTATTGCTATGAATAATTGGATTTTCTATTATTAAATGACACATTTCAATATGTAACCACATAATACATAAGATCTTGTTACAATATATTATATACACCTGTGACACAACTTAATTCTAGCCTATGTATTCTTAATTTCTTCGAAATCAGTTGAACCTTTTTGGTGATACCTTTAAACAAACATCAATCCATGCATCGAAACATTCCGATTTGTAATATGAGTAAGAATAAAAAAAATAATTTTGTCTACTAACTCTCCTTTGATCATTGGCTGACGAAATCCTTCATTGCAATCATGTTCAATTATAGCTATAGAGAAATCTATAGCTAAAAACAAAAAAGTTAAATTTGGCAAATTTGTTCATGCTTAAAATGAACGAAATTCTTTTATGAAATTGTTTTTTTTTTATATATTTTTATGACATACATTTAAATCTATAGATATATATTCTAAACTAAAAGAAACCGCACATATTTACGTGGGTGTACGCGGAAATGTTTGATACAGAAGCCTAAGTAATTCTTAGAAGCCACTTGTACAAAACTCTGATAATACCTTCAACATTTAACAAATTCCATAGACTATTTCTTAATCTACTTTTACAGTAAGAAGGTTTTATAATATTATTATTTTTTTTAAATGCAAGAGCATTCAGAGACATTAGAAGGTATATGAGAACCCTCAGTGTATATTTTTACTAACCATGGATTTCTGAGACCAAAATCTCTATATAAAACATATCGTCATCCCTGTCATTATTGTTGTCAAAACAGAGATAACGATATGTTTTAAACGGGAATTTGCGTCTCAGAAATCCACGGTAAGTGAGGCTTAAACAATCATTGATCTATGATCTGATGTTATATACCAGCCTATGTTGACACATTATTTGTTTTAAATGCATACAAAAAATAGCATTCCTTTATCGATTCAGGTCTAACTCGAATGGACCCGTATGTTCGTCTTCGGGTGGGTCACTGTATATATGAGACCCAGACTGACCCCAGCGGTGGTAGGACGCCGCGTTGGAATAAAGTTATACATTGGTATGTTATAAGCTATTAATTATACGACCGAAATAAATAATCGATCGCAAACCATTTAAACTATCTAGAGATGCCAATAGCGTTAAAGAAACATAATTCTTTATTTAGAGTGAATAATTTATTGTCTCTCTCTCTTCATACAAAGTGGTCAAAATGATGTACAGTCAGCTGCATAAATATGTATACAGTAACAATACTTCATAATTTCTGTGCGCATTTGGTTTAAAAATATGTATGCATGAATCGGTTCCTTTGCTATCCACGAATACTTGTCCTTGACGGCGTGCATAAGCATTTAGGAAACCGGCGACCTATACAAAAGAAATAACATTTGGTATTTTTTTTTAATTGTTAGCAAATGTTTTGTTAATGTACTAATATTTGTTGTACCATTCCAACTAAGCTCTAGGCTTATGCAAGGATATAGTTAACGACAATTGTTAAATGGCATTCGGACTCTCGACTACTTGATCGGAAATCCGTACCCTTAACCATTGGGCTATTGGCGTTTAATATACACAATAATAATGAGTTGTATACATATTTATGTGGCTGACTGTACTAGTCATGTTTATATTATAGTGTTCACTGCATTCCAATAAACGATCAAGGATTTTCTTCCAGCCTTCTCCCGCCTGGTGTCAACTCTATTTATTTAGAGATCTACGATGAATGCTCGTTTACAATGGACGAGTTGATTGCTTGGACACACATCAACATCCCGCAAGCAGTGCTAAATGTTAGTCGTACTATTTTTAATGTTTATATTAAATATAAACATATTATTGTTTACGATAACACAGTATGAAAGATATTTTAACTAAAACAAAGTGATACATTATTGAAATATAACATCAGCTCACTATACGTACCCACTGAGGGGCTCGGAGCCTTCCCCTTAGTGACTAGGCCATAGTCAACCGTAGCCCAGGGCGGGTTGACTTCACACATATCTCAGATATGTGCATCACGATGTTTTCCTTTACCGTAAGAATGTCAGATAAATGTACATATGTAAATCGGAAAACATATTAGTACATGACGGGATTCGAACCCAGGACCTGCAGATTACAAGTCAAATGCTGAAACTACTGAGCCATCCACTCTATTGAAATATAACAAATCTTTATTTTTTTCAGGGTGAAACTCATGAGAACTGGTACCCGTTGAACGGTAAACAAGGTGATGGTAAAGAGGGCATGATTAACCTCGTGCTTAGTTACTCGGTAAGTACATTTGATTTAAGGTAATATTAATTTTAACAAAATTGACTCACTAGTTATAATAAAGCCAGTAACAGATACGTAGGTTTTTAATTAACTCGCAAGTAAAGAAAAAAAAATATTTTTAATCTGTGTTTTGCAAGCTCTTTATCCTAAGAGCAATGCCACATATGTGTTTTTTATCCCCTTTAGAGCTCATTATTGTCACTTGTTTAGCGTCGATGGCTCATGGGTTAAACACTTGACTTGTAATCTGCAGGTCCTGGGTTCCAATTCCTTTATGTACCAATGTGTTTTTCCATTTACATATGTACTTATATCTGACGTTACGGTGAAGGAAAACATCGTGATGTAAGCTGCACATATCTGCGAAGGGATACAAAGATATGTGTGAAGTCAACCCACACTATCGCCTAGTCTAACTTAGTTTAGGCTCTGAGCACCTCAGTGGGGACGTATAGAGCTGATGAATTGTCTCTTGATATCCAGGTGGGTCCAGCGGCTGTGGCTACATTCCCCCCAGTGCTGGTAGTACCCAGCACGGGCATGGGGTACGCGGCCATGCCGATGTACCCCGCGCCGCACCCCGCGCCATACCCCGCACCACTCCCGCAGCAACAGCAACCCCCGCAGCAGCTCTCGCCAGAGCAGTTGCAACAGGTACGTACAATTATACTTCTTATTTGTACAGAAATAAGGGTCATTTCTTAAAAATGTTAAAATAAGCTCTTCGTCACAATAGGTTTAGTAATGAGAAATATTTGTTAATATACTCCTTTAGTGCTGAATTAACGACTCTAAATGCGTGATTAAATTATTTTTTTTACATATTGATATTCTTTAGATCGAGGAGATGTTCCCGAGTATCGAGAAGGATGTGATAAAGTCGGTGCTGGAAGCCAACCGTGGAGACAAGGACGCCACCATCAACTCTCTCCTGCAGATGTCGGAATAAACTTGTATGTTCTCATTTTTTACACATGTCAGAGTAAACACCCTGTAAGTTCTTGAACTTTACACATGTCAGAGTAAACACCC